CCTTCCAAAATACCTGGACAGCAGGAAAAAAGCAACCTTGCATTAAAGTTATCTTAGATGCTACAGACCTTTTTTCTTGACATAGTAAGGCAGAGCCTTCCTAGTATCTATGCAGATACATCCATGTAGCCTATTTAGCAACAAAAAGAATAGTAATTTTCAGTTTCCTTCCTGTGGATTTTTTTCCCCAATTTCCTTGCCTAAATTACTTCTCAAGATTGTTATCCTGGTGATCTCACATCCAAGATATCACCCAGCTTAACTTTTTTTTTTTTTTTGAGCAATGAAAATTGCTAGGTGCTACTACTTGTTTAATATGTGTACTATATTATTGCACTGTTTGATTGCTTCCTGTCCTATCCATTTATAAGCTGCTATTTAATATGTCCACATCTAACTTATTTAAATACAAAGCTATCAACCAGAGTACTAAGTAGTACTGAGATATACACAGAGAGATATTTTTATTAAGAATTGTGATTATGATATAAAATTGAATGCAAAATAACTTAAAGAAAAAGAAAAGAAAGAAAGAGTGCAAGAGCGCAAAGAAAAAGAAAGAAAAAGGGTATAACATACACTTGTATTGTATGTATTTTAATTTTGGCTGTTCACCGCCCTGAGTCCCCTTGGGAGAAGGGCGGTATACAAATTATACAAATTAAATTGATAAAAAAATAATAATAAAGAAATACATAAAGAAATTATTTTCAACCATAAACAAATTCAATGAGCCTTCACCCCCTCTAAGTCACCCCATATCCCATCCTTTATTTATAGAGAAATCCCTTAAACATATTTTCGGTATTGGTGCTAGCAAAAAGTCCATAAAGGTTTAACAGAAGTAACAATATAACATGAACAGTACTGCTTTTATCAGAACTTGTGGTAAACATTGAAAATGGCAGGTGGGGGTGAGGAAAGGCTGCATTTAGCTATGGGAGAACATCACATGCTTATGCAAGGCAGTATCAGTGGATCACATCCCTTGTGCTGCATGTTCCATTTTCATAAAACCAATGACTTCACTTTGCATTCCACTGAGAAGCATAAATGTGGCAATTCATGCATGTAATGACTGCCAAGAGCACAAGGTTGGTGTCATATTTTTGTGATGAGCTATACATGACTCACCCCAGAAATTATAACTGTCTCATCAGGGGCATGCTGAATAATCCAATGCTAAAGCCAACTGGCAAGCCCATTATATGCTGTGGGGCTACAAGATCTTAAATGGAATGTCAATAAACTAGAGAGCAGGAAACTTTTTGTAAGAGAAGTGGCACTGGGGATTATGAAGGGGTCTTTGTAGTTCTTTTGTAATGTAGGTGAATTGGAATGATCCAGCTAAATCAGGAAAGTGAAAGAAGAAAAAAGTTTATTAGGGAGAAATTGGAAGCAGGAATCCTAGATGCTCAGCTAGAAAGTAAACTATCATTGCCATTTTTTGGCTTTGGTCAATATCCATGATGCATCTGGCATTTTGTGCTGGCTCAAGGAGAGTTTTTGAGTTCTGACATGCATACAAGACCTTCTTAGCTAAAACGAGAGATATTTATACTTTTACAGATGAGATTTATATTTCCTTTGAATTTCCTCTATAGCAATTGGCTAAAGATTACTTATTTAGATTATAGTAACCTAATGTTAATGGTTGATGGATGATTAATAGATTATGATCTTTTCTTTGCAGCCACATTATTTATTTATTTATTGGTTCGATTTATATGCCGCCCTTCTCAGGAGACTCAGGGCGACTTACAATGTGTTAAGCAATAGCCTTCATACTTTTGTATATACCTGCTTAGTAGGGCTTTTGGCCCCCCCAAGCAGTGTTCTTTTTTATACAAAGTCAGCTTATTGCCCCCACAATCTGGGTCCTCATTTTACCTACCTCGAAAGGATGGACAGCTGAATCAACCTTGAGCCTGGGGAGATTTGAATTTGCAGTAATTTCAGGCAGCTGGTGCTACTTTAACAGCACTTAGTCAACAGCGCCACCAAGGCTCTTGGTGCCTTATCATGCATTCCTCCCTTCCCTGAGTTAGCCAAAAAATATCTTTGTATAATTTGTACTACTCTGATAGCTGAGCAATGGCAGCAATAGTAGTGATGTTCTTACAATTTTAATATAGGTCAAGTTAAAGTAGGAATTGGTGGGTTGTATTTCATCTCCCTCCCAGTGTTATCTGTTGGCAGCAAAATCAACCAGTAATCACTGACTTTAGCATGTAATGGAACGAGCCTGGGTGACTTGGGTGGATATCTGAACCATGAACAGGTTGTTGACATGGAAGTTATCCATGCTGGAGACTTCTTGTTCAGGCTATTTCTATGTTAACATGCTCGTGAAGAAGGCACAGAAGAGACTGTACTTCTTGAGAATGCTCAAGAAGATAAATCTATCTCAGCATCTACTTCTGTCCTACTATCGCAGCACCATTGAGAGTGTCCTGACGTAAGCATTCTTGTATGGTATGGGTGCAGCTCTGTAGTGGACAGAAAAGCTCTACAGAGAATCATTAAAATTGCCCAGAATATCATCGGGCTCCAGCTAACAGCCCTGGATGACATCTTCGAATCTTGCTGTTTGAGGAAGTTGCATAACATTCTCAGAGACTCTCCCCATCCTGTTTACATCTTTTGGGACTGTTGCCTTCTGGCAGAAGATACAGAACAATTAAAACTTGGACCACACGTTTTCTGAATAGTTTTTATCCCAGAGCTATAATTGCACTCAACAATGAACTAAAGTCAGTGAGCTGTTGGACAGCATTACTTGGTCTGTTGTGTGGATGTTTGGGTGGTTTAGGGGTGGGGAATTTGTGGTGGGTGGGGGGGTGTTTGGGGATTGTTATGTGTGTTGGACCTGGTCTTTGGGTGTTAAGTGAATTTTGTTGTACGGGTATACTGTGTATATACGTACAATGACAATAAAGTTGTTGTTGTTGTTGTTGTTGTTGTTATTGTTGTTGTTGTTGTTGTTGTTGTTGTTGTTATTATTATTATTATTATTATTATTATTATTATTATTATTATTATTATTATTATTATATTTTGACATGGATTTAGCAGACTTCCAGAAGATCACTAACTGGGAGATCTTCTCTCACTTCTTCAGAGAAGACAAGTAGAAGTCTTGTCAATGTCAAGCCAGTTCCCATATACCTCAAACTGATATGCTCCAGGGAATATCAGCAACTGTGACTACCAGCACCTGGAAACAGCCCATGTAATATACAAAATGATACTGCTCTCCCCAAAGTAATAGCAATTTAAGCATGACCACATAAAATCTCTTGTTAACAACACAATGCACCTATAATGCATTCATTGGTAACAGAATCAGCAAAACCGGGTTGGCAGAAGCAGACTCTTTCTCTCAGTTTAAGTCAATTGCAGCATTAGTCCTTTCTTTTAAAAACACATTTAGTGCTTTTTCAGAAGACTGATAAATGCATGTTTAAAAGTCCTGGAAACATGCTAATTCTATGTATCTGAGGAGACTTTTTATACCTAGTCAGGCATATCATAGATCTAGAATTGAGAACAGGGGTGATATCCAGAACATTTGCATGCTACTGTATAAGTGCGGTGGTGAGGAACAGAAAATAATATATTGATTTAGAGGAATTCTTTTGGATGTGTTGAAAGAGATGAAAAATAGGAAGGCCACAGGTAGCTCTCACTAAGAACAAATGTGGCTTATGGATCAGAGATGTCTAGCTGCTATTAATGGAAAGAAGTCAGTCAGTAATGTATGTTGCTCAAGGCTGGATGCTTATATAGTACATTAATCCTATAAGGATCCTTAACGTGAGTAGACCTTTACTTTATTTCTTTCCATTTTTCTAAATAAACTTTTTGCTTGGAATAATCAGTTCTTGTGTCATTTATTTCTTTAGTAAGTATATAAGAACCCAGAAACAACAAAGATCAGATTTTAATTGCTTTTATTCTGCTTCTGTCTCTCTTTAAGTTTTATTATTATCACTATGGTTGGTTGCAGTCAGCCAAATGTTTAGATTGAATATGGCATTTTTGTCCATGTATTGAGTCCTTCCCTAGGATTGGGATAGGAAGATGTTTATTGATCTTCAGCTTCTTTGCAGAATGACATTTGCTGTCTGCTGCTGTTGTCTCAATTCTGGCTTTATATGCATTTGTTCTTAATGCTTTGTTTTGTGCTGCCAGAATTAGTCCCTCTGTCTCCTTCTCACTTTCCTGCTCTTAGCCATTACTAGGTCTTGTTGTTACCTGCTTAGTTTGCTACTTTTTTTCTATAATACTTTGCCTTGTCATATTTTTTCTATTCTTCATTTGGTCTTTCTTGTAGCCAGTTTGGTCTCTTCAATGTTCAGTAAGACCTCCTAGTATACTAATTTCAGTGCATACTCTTTACTGTCCAGGATCTGGGGCAGGTAAATGCTGTTGTTTGATGGTGTTAAAGGTTAGTGATTGCAGGATGTAAGCCGTTCCGAGTAAAATTATCTTTTGTAATTGACAATTACAAAAGATAGCGATTATTTTGTCAATGTCAGTGGTGTTCTAAGTGGTGCTCCAAATGTTTTGGGATTGCACCAAGGCACCCATATTATTATTATTATTCTGTATTATTGTTCTGCATAGGTGGAAACCTAATATTTGCTTCCATCTACGTACACTAACCTGATATTTTGGTGCTTTGCAATCTGCTTCAAGAGAATAATAACAAGGTAGTATGGTATAATTTATAACAATCATTTTAAATTCAAACAGTCCTGACAATGTTCAAAGTGTATTGTCAGGGTTCCAAGTAACACCCCCAATGAAAGAAGACTCCAAGACTTGAAGTTCCTCAAAGTTCCATTTTATTAGAGATGTCATATTGGCACATCTGGGGAAAACCCGAATCTGAAAGCTTCCAGGTTTTCCCCACCCAAAGGAAAGTCCAAGTCCCTGCCCAATTCCCACATGTCCATCATGAGGTCCAATCAAAGCACTGTCCCAACTGGAGCTGCCTCCCAGTCACATCCCTCCAGGTGCAGGGCAAGATGTCCTTGACGTTCTGAAAAAGGAATGTTATTATGACTATATATCACCCCTGCTCCATACAATCCCCCCTCGCAGTTTCCCACAGCACTAAATGTGGCAGGCCTGAAGGCCCAATGCAAAAGATGGCTTCCAGGCCTAACATGTATTCTATTTGCTTTTTTCCTAATATGAACTATATTTCACAGGGAAATTCTTGAACATTCTCTACTATTTAATATGCCTACAACTGATATGTTGAAGCTCATCTAAAAAGAAAAGCTGGAATAGAGGAATTCACAACTGCTTGCTGCTTTTGAATCAACAGAACATCCTACAGATAGGATGAGGCTAGACAGTAAACAAATTATTAAACTGAATAAAAAGAAAGGCAGTGGAGGGAGTTTATAGATTTATATGTCCTAAGAATTAGACAGGACAAGGAAAGTTTTTTTTTTCATCCCATTGGAGTTCATAAAGAGTCTTTTGAGCATATGAATCTAACAAACATGGAATCCACAATCAGACTATCTATGTTAGCATTGTTAGCATTTGCTCTGGTTGGACAAAAGTTAGAATTTCTGATCTAATTCCTTCCCAGATCTGCCTAGAGATAGCTTTCCTCTTCTTTCCCTATGTCTTCCAGTCTTTTTTCATGGGACAGAAGGTTGAAAAAATGCTAGGGTAGAAAGTTAGCACCCACCCCCCTTCTAGAAGAATAAAATACTTTGAGGAATATTTTAAAAGGCAGAATATTATATTTTCCTGAATGAGAAAAGGAGAAACATGTTTTTAAAGACAAAGAGCAGGTCCCTGCCCCCAGCAGATATTTGGTGCTCATTGAGAAAGACTGGGCCAGCCTATCTACAAAACAAAAGGCCTCCAGCTCCAGGATGATGGGATCAAGACATGACCCTCCAGGACATAATAGGATTATCTATCAGCAGAGCTCACCACATGCCACAACCAAGCCCCTACATTTCATCAGCCCAAGGTTCAACCAAACTTGACTTCAAGACAAACATGATCCCACATGGCCGCATTGGAGTCTGACAGCAACCAATAGAATACATGCTCTTGGCACAGGAACAGGAAGCTCAAATTCAAAGCCCAAAAGAGGGTATAAATAACACTCACTCTCCACTCTATGTGGTCAGCTACCCAAAACCACATGTGCTTGGTGGTTCTGCTTCACCATTAAACCATCTTTCCAATCAGCCTCCATGTTTCCAGTGTCTTTCTCCCCACTTAGAACTGAACCCAGATGGACATTTCTTCCAACACTAGGGAATCCTCCGAATTGAGTAGGCAAATGGATTTTAGCTATCCTAACTGAGCTGCCAAAATCCAGATCTTTACCAGATAGCAACAAGGAGACATTGAAAAACCAACAAATAGCAGCTCTATTGCAATTATTTGGAAGAAAGAAAATCTAAGTTATGTATCCATGGTTCCATGAATATATATCAAAGACATCATTTATAAATATGGTAGTTTAAAACAATAGATCCCTGTAGTGCACAACTTTCTTTAAAGACGTCTAATGTTTGGAACTTTGTTTACGAATGTGGAGAACTTCAACTTCCCTGAAACAACATCCAAGTGGAACTTTAGCTAATGACTCAATTTTGCCAAGCAAATATTCTGGAATCTTAAAGGAGCAAGTAAACTACATTGCTTATGAAAACGAAGCATTTTATATGAGGCAAAAAAAGCTTTCATTAGGAAATGCCACAAAATTAAGGGGAGAACATTCAGAAATATTGGCTGTCTTGGGGATAAGGACAATGATATGAAAATAGCACCTTATATCTAAAAGAAACCAAACAAAGTAATATATTATGCTAATTAGAAAGGGTAGGTAAGAGTATGAAAAAAATAACCTTTTCTAACAGCTTTTCCTCATTAGTTATTTACAAAGTCATTTAATGGGCTTGCAAGCCTATTTTTCCCGATTGTCTCCATGATGCTGGGCTTGTCTCATTCCCAGGCGATGATTTATGCAGCTTTATCTCACAGTTTTCTGTCTGCAAAACACAAAGGATAAGAGAAAAATTGGGACAAAATACAGAATTCCTGATGGAACTTTCTACCTTTGCACCAAGGTCTGGGATACACTAAGGTTTTATAATGAGATAATAATCTTGGAGAGGAAAATATCTTCATTCAGTGGAATGATGGAAACTTTTTGCTAAATGAGGAAGAAATGGTAATGGAAAAAGAAAACCAGTGAGAAAAATGTCTGTATATAAATAATTGAGACCTAAATAGTGTGCATACACAGGTGAATCAGTGGTGGGTTGCTATCAATTTGCCCCAGATCAACCGAACCGGTAGCAGCAGCAGCGGGAGACATGCACAGAAGCATCATACATGTAAGTGCACGCTCACACAAGAGCGAATTGGTAGCGACGGGATTTGGATCCCACTACTGAGGTGGATGATGGAATGTTTAGGTCCTATATCATCTTTCTCTCACCTATCAGGAGAGTGAGGAAGTTCTCTTTTATAAAAATAAAATTCCTTGCAGGGAAACAGACACAAAGATACAGAAAAACGAACAGATTCTTTCTCCAAGATGGGTTAGTTTTCAGCTTGTACATTGTTTGTTTTTAGTTTTGTTTTTTTAATATGGAAGGAACTTCCTATGTGTATTTCTCAATAATGACCTCATTTTGTTGTTCATAAAAAACAAAACGGTAAGAGTCCCATCACTCCATCTTAGTTTAATCATCACAGTTAACAAGAAAGTATCACTCCCCGGGGAATTCCCAAATGCCTCCTTTGTACTGCTAGCAGTTCAGGCAGGAGAAAGTACCATAGAAGAAACAAAAGAACCTGCTTTATCTCAGGTTAATTAGAAGTGTCATCTCCTCTTACTGAGATTGTTTCTCCAGAATCTTTGGCATGGATGTTTTTGCCATCATGTTGTTGTTGTTTTTGCCAGAACCTTTTAGGCAAAGATCCCAGAGTCCTGCCTGCCAAAAAGGTGTTTTGTCTTCCCACCTATAATTAACTCTGCACTGACTTTCCATTCAAGGTGCACAACATCACATAGCACTATTTTAGTTTATTATTTTCATGTACAAAGCTACTCATCTCACATACATAACCTATATGCTGGAACAGAAAGGTTATTCAGCATATGGGAATATGGGACGTGACATGTACCATATAAATGGAATTATTATTATTATTATTATTATTATTATTATTATTATTATTATTATTATTTATATACCGCCCTACTCCCGAAGAACTCAGGGCGGTGAACAGCCAAAAGATATGTAACAGCCAAATATATGTAATACAAATGTTAAAAAACCATTAAAATACAATTAACTAATTTGGCCCAGAAAACAAAATTTAAAAACCCCAATTTTATACGACAAATTTAAAATTTAAAAAATTTAAAAAACAGTTTAAAAAAGAGGTTAGGCCAGGCCGGCCTGCTGAAATAGGAATGTTTTGAGGGCACGGCGGAAAGGGCACAGATCAGTGATCCTCCGTATCTCCGGGGGGAGCTTGTTCCAGATGGCAGGTGCTCCCACAGAGAAGGCTCTCCCCCTGGGGGCCACCAGTCGACACTGTTTGACCGATGGCACCCTAAGAAGCCCCTCTCTATGGGAGCGTACTGGTCGGTGAGAGGCTACTGGTGGCCGGAATGAATGAATGAATGAATGAATGAATGAATGAATGAATGAATAAATAAATAAATCTGTTTTATTGACAATAAATTTAAATTATATCAGATCCAATCAAGTTTGACTCTAAACCTATTTAGTTCTTTGTTCTGCTGAGCTTCCTTGTTGTTCTTTGACCTCTTGCATGTCTGTCCAGTTAACAAAGCCTCTAATCCTCCCAAACTCCACTTAGTTGAGAAGTTCATAATTATATTGTGCGAAGTCATCCAGCTCTTTCTCAAGAATAAATAGGTTGAGGGGATTTTTTAAATTATTTTTTTGTTAATGATGCATATCTAGTTGCTAGCCGTCCTTCTTTCTTGTGTTGGTTTAATTTAAAGTTTTCAGTTGAAGGAACCAAAAAAGAAAAAAGAAATAATAGTCAGTGGATATTGATTTGTATTTTCAGTGCCTAGGTGATATTTTATGAAATAAAAATTGACATTTTTATGACGGGTAACCTTGACCAAGTAATGAATGATCAGATTTCAGAATAGGTCTGTTTTGGATGGGCTGCTGGTGCCAAAGCACTTGTTCAAATGTACGTACACAATTTCCTTGAGCATCTGCTTTCTTCAAAACATTCTGGAGATGTTTCCCCCCTTATATAATGATTTGACATTCTTTTCCAAAGTATTGCAGAAATGATGAATAACCCAAAGTGACAGAATTCATTATGTCTTTTGTGCATGGATTGAATACTAAAGATGTTCAAATAAAACATTTGCAGAAATAACCAGCAGCAACAATTAAAAGATTTCACATGTGGATAATTAAGAAACACTCAGTTGATGAGTAAAACAGTCCTTTACTGGTAGCCTTAATTATTTTAATTGGAACAGCAAATAATCATCCTATGAGGTTTATTGGAATGTTTTTATAGAAAACAGAGCTAGAAGAAAATACATTTTATGTACAGTGAAAGACTAGAAATTCATAGGACTACCTGAGAGATGTACTGTGAAATATGTGTTCAAAATAGGAATAAATATTTAAACTGCTTTTGTTTTGCTTTTGAATTCTGTTAAAGTTTAGTACTGCAAAGACTAATCCAATGATTATGTTTACTCCATAGTTTCTAATATCTTTTTAGCAATTGTTTTTCTTCTGAAATTATTAAGCTCTTGCTAATCAACAAATCTAATTGAAAGAAGAGTCATCTCCTAAGTGATAATTTCATGCAATCTTCCTTGAAAGGGAAAGGAATGTATAAGAAGGACATGCCCAATTAATGTATTTAAGATATTAGGCATACCTACCACTTCTTTGTAAGGTACCAGGGGCCAATAGAACTGGATGACTGCAGGGAAGCAATGAATGCATTGTATAGTTAATCATAAACTTTTCCAGTTTCTGTAATTTGGAATAAACATTTAAGATAAGCAGTTTTGCATATTTTGGCTAAAGATATTGAATTCAAGATAAGCATTGATAATATCCAAAACCATCTACACCAGAGGTGTCAAACACAAGGCCCACGAGCCGGATTTGGCCCGCAGTGTAGTTGGATCTGGCCTACAGGGCCATCCTGGAAAATGTAAGGGGCTTGCCTGCATCGCTTCGGCCTGGTCTACCCAATACGAAGAGGAAACATTGGGCCAGCGTGGCTTCGGCCCAGTCTACCCAATGCAAAGAGGAAACATGCCAGCAGTTTGGGGAGTGGTGTCAAGCTGGCCACACCCACCAAGTTGGCCACATCCAATTGGTCACCACACCCGCCCTGATGTGGCCCTCAATGAAATTGAGTTTGACACACCTGATCTACACTAACTAACTAACTAACTAACTAGTCACAAACAAGAATCAAAAGACAAAATCAGAGTAGGGATGCTTTGGGGAAGAAAAGGATAGAGTAGTACCGCAACTAGAACATCTGCACTAGGAGCTTAGGGTAATGCTGGAAAAATCTCATCATGGACTACATCTGGCTTCCAGAAGAGCTTGATACATTCCTTAAGGACTGTTGACTTGATAACGAAATATGATGGTCTTACTGATCTATTATGAATGTTAATTGAAATGGAGTGTTTGCTTTTTCCTTCCTGGGACTGAATCTCCATGACTTTCATCGTCTTTCTAGAACTTCCCCATTACTGGCAGAAAAAAATGGAACAACTTTGCTCTCCATCACTGGGGTAAAGTGGGGAAGCAGATGATCTCTTTCACTAGGGGAACCTTAGATTTCTAAGCCCTACAGAATTTAAGGGTACCATCTTGCTGAAAAGGATGCTGAAGGAACAATCATTGTCTTTGTTTCCTTCTTACAAGTGGTGACTGATCTACAGGTATGGGAAGGCCCTTGGCCAATCCATACAACCACATTCTTCCTCTTTTTCCTTCTTTTCCCCTACAATTAGGGGAATTATGACGTCTAAACAGAATGGAAAATCTGACCTACAGTATTGTATGGCTTCTTGAGACGCCATTGAAGGCAATGAGGGTTTGCAGCCTTGGCTTGGGATAGGATGCTGCATTTGAAGAAAAAAGATGTCCTTTGTCTGTAAGTAAAACAATTGCACTTCAGATGAACTCCAAATCAAGGTGACTGATTTCTCTTCTGCAGGGAATCCTATCACAAAGCCCCAAACATCTGCTACAACTTGGCAAATGAACATTGGACTTATTATCATATTACAGAAAATTGGCTAAGTTCTGTTGAAAACGAACATCATTAGAAGTATTGTATGCTTTAGGGAAGGGGCTAGTTTGAATAACCAGATGCTTTCTAATTAGCGGCTTTCATTATCCTTGACCTTTTCACTCACTCACATGTATACAAGCAGAGAGAAAAGGAATGATTTGTACCAGTCAAATGCCCGCCATTAGTATGGGTGGGTAGCACATATTGGGAGAAAGCTGAATGTTGTAGGATACTGGAGAAGGAAGAAATAACTCTATTATCCTCTATGCAAGAAAAGACACAATGGTGGCCCTGTAAAAGTGTATGAAGGGAGGGTAGGAATATTTGGCAAGGTTTCATTCCTGTCTTTGTCTACATATCTAAGCTGGGGCACGCAGAGGTGGCAATAGGCTGCGGCAATCCCCGCACCCTGGAATAGCTGTCAGTATTCCGGGAGGCTGATCCAACCACCAATCAGCTGCTCGTGCTAAATCAGGCTGTGCTGAAGCTGACCAGGCTGTTTGCTGTTTGCTGCAAGGAGGCAAATTGCTGGGAGGCAGAGGCCGAAGGGTGGGGCCGGTGGGTGGGCAGGGCTTCGGCAACATTCGCTCTATAAGACACACAGACATTTCCACCCACTTTTGAGGGCGGGGGGGAGAGTGTGTCTTATAGTCCGAAAAATACAGTATATACTAATATTCATTGGTTATTTGCTTTAAAGAATGAATAAAATTGATATACCTTTATTTTAGGTATGTTCCTCTCTCAATTGTGCAACTCTGGTGACAGCTGGATGGAAGTTAAAATATACAAACGCTTGAATTACTTCTCACTACTTTCACCCAGTGAAAGTAGTGAGAAGTATCATCTTACAGAAAACAGATGAGAAGTATTCACTGGAGAAAGCAATTATGTTTGGAAGAGTTAGTAAAAGGAAACCAGGTTGCCATAGAACACAGTGGCTGGACACCATCAAAGTATAGCCAGAACATAGAAAAACTCAAAGAAATAGTGTGAGATTGGAAGATGTGGAGAGACCTGACCCATAGAATCAAGAGTCGGATTCTGTCCCCCACTTTAATGGGGACCCCTTTTTAGTTTATCTTGGAACTGGTTCCCTTTCTCCCATTCATTTTGGCACTGCTGAAGGTGGAAAACTGTGGCATATGCATTTCCTCAGATGTCAGAGCTAAAGAACTGCAAATTAAGGTTGTGGATTTTCTTATAATCCACTAAGTGTATTGCAGGTCTGACATCTAGTGGCCATAACAGTTCTCGTCTTCTTTTTGTTCCACTTTTTGTACTGTATGTACTATCTTTCCACTTTTTTGTTTTATGCACTTCTGCTTTTCTATCATCTCCTCCCCTTGTTTACAACCTTACAGTATCTCTTATAAAATCACCACTGTGTCCTTGAAAAACACAGATTCCTCATATTGTATTCAGTGGTGGGTTGCTCCCAGTTTGGTCTGGTTCTATAGAAAAACTGATGGTTCTATAGGTAAAACCGATGGGAAGCTCCGGCCACCCGCCACGACATCATCATGAGTGATCTGTGCATGCGCAGAAGCGCACGCTCCCATTGTGAACCAGTATTAAAGGTAAGTAGAACCCACCCCTGATTGTATTCCTTCTGTTTTGGGAGTCCTCCTATTCTGGTACTTCTAATGCCATAAAGACTTCCGTTAAGATTCAGTGCACTACAAAATCTGTCGTGCTTATAATGTGAGCCACTGCTGTTTACCAATGCTAATTGTGGGAGAAACAGGCAACCCAGGAAAATGTGTATGTATTCTTTCATTTGTGTTTGTAAGTTGAGTACACCCTATAAGCCATTTATAAATTGTAATTGATTCATGATTTCATTTTAAGTTGAAATTGCTGTTTTAAATCAGATAGCTAGTAGCTATATGACAAGTCATGCAACTTTCTTAGTTCCAGTTATTTAGGCTTCAGAGCTGGCAGATATGTTTGGTTCAATTTTTTTTCTGTACTGTTTCTTTTCTTTCTGTTAAAAGAATGCTTTGGCAACTGTGCAGAAGTCTGATTTTTTTTTAATAATTATATTATTATGCAGAGCAGCAAAATACTTGGGTAATGAATTAGTTTTGAATGGAAAGCAATCATGGGATTCCATATCCCATCTCCCCTTGCCCAAGGTTAAAGATCTGTAGTAAAAGAGTTGTATGATAATAAATGGCAACACACATCTTTTAAAGAAACTTGTGCTGAAAATGGTGTCACAGCAACAGTGTAGAAGGGGGAAAAAACAGAACATTTGGCAAGAAATAGAACCAGGATAACTCATCAAAGAGTGTATCATTTACAGCTTGAGTGAGAATGATATTAGAGTATCGGATTAAAATGTAAAGGAAACTACAGAGTATGCTGGCCACTTCCATGATCCACAACCAGCACTGACTTTTCAAGAATAATAGATGCTGTAGAGAGTGCCTGGAAGAGATTGGTATACTAAGAAATGTATGCATCCCACAGTTCTATTGTCCATGTACTGTCACACATTTGTGATATACAATGTTTTAAATATACTACACTGGATTGTGATATTCCATTTCTGTTGAATTAGATGCTGGAACAAGTATGACATCTGGTGGCTAAAACATAATCCACCTCTCAATTTTTCTTTATTTTTTATTTTACTGGAGATTCATTTACAAAGGTCAATATTTTACAAAGCAAAAGCTGCTATTTTACAAAATATTTCAGATGGTGATTTTTTTTCTCCCTTTCCACTTCTTTGGAATGGAGGGCATCTGTTACTAATATAATTGCTAAGAAACATTCTGAATATGTCACTGTTCTAGGACTTAGAAATAGAATATTGATGGTAACAAAGTGTTTTGGAAAAGGGTTATGTTGCAGGTGTAATTGATTGAGATTTGATTTGATTTGATTTGATTTGATTTGATTTGATTTATAAAACTGTTGTATTGTCAAATGACTCAATGCTATTATATGATCTCAAGGTGAATTCTTTGGAAAAGTGTGTCAAGGTCCTGACTTTCTAAATATTTTTTCTTCATTTCTTCTCTTCACTAAGAGCAGGAAATGAAAATATTGCTAAGCTGCCTAGAGAAATAAACAATATAACAAAGCAAAGATTCAGTTCAGGGAGTTCCAGAAACAATTAAGTAATAGTGAGAAATTGTATATATATATATAAATATGCATTACTTTGGTGCATGTGTGTTTGTGTCTGTGTATCTGTATCTGTATCACACATTTGGCTTTGGTCCTTTTTCTGCCCACTTTTACCTCTATAGCAATTTATTAATTATGTATTTTATATACAGGGGAGAGCGAGCGAGAGTGAGCATAAGCCTTTACATATATAGTTTCTTGCTATTTCTCCACATGCCGGTTAAGAGTTGTGGATTAGGGACTGGGGAAGGGTACAAATCCACTTACCTCAAAAGTGATGTCCTTACTTAATCACAATTTGAAAGACAGTTGCTAAGCAAGGATCATTATTTTGAAGAGTCACGGCACACATTCCATTCCATTCTCATGTAGCTTCTCTGAGGTTGGAGTAATTGAAAACCAAACAACTAAAAGTCCTGTTGTAAATACAATCAATGTCTGCATGTGTGCGTGTGTGTGAGGCATTTAAAAATGTCAAGATGACATCCACGACTGTGTATAAGGACTGTGTATACAGTATAAGGACTGTGCAGTGCACAATCCTTATACTGTACATTAAAAAAAGTTCAGGGCTTTGGTGGTCTTTTCCATAATTTGACTATTTTGAGCCCAGCCCCACCCTGCTGGCAGACTGAGAGCCAATATATGGCTTCTAGCAGGGGTGAAATTCACTTACCTTCCCTACTGGTTCGCAAATGTGCCCGCACCAAGGCTTAAAATTGCTTATAAAGTGACGTCATGATGTCCGCATGGGTGGGCGAAGCCTCCCTCAGCCGCCGCTAGCAGTCCGCCCTAACCAGGTAGAACTAGTTAAATTTCACCTCTGACTTCTAGGCACCTATTTTCCTATGAAACAGACAAAGAGAGGAAGATCATTTTATTATAATTGATTAAGAACATTCTCCCCTTCATGGATTACTGCCTTGTCATGGTGAAGGGGCTTGTGTAGCTCAATGAAGCTATGAGCTATGTTGTGCAGGGACACCCAAGATGGACAGGTCATAGCAGAGAGTTCTGACAAAACGTGATCCACTGGAGAAGAAAATGGCAACCCACTCCAGTATTTTTGCCATGAAAACCCCATGGACAGTACCAAAAGGCAAAAAGATATGACGCTGGAAGATGAGCCCCTCAGGTTGGAAGGTTAAATTAAAAGATGCTTGCTCCTGGGGAGGAAAGCTATGGCAAATCTAGACAGCATTCTAAAAAGCAGAGACATCACCCTGCCAACAGAAGTGTGTATAGTCAAGGCTATGGTTTTCCCAGTTGCAATGTATGGCTGTGAAAGTTGGACCATAAGAAAGGCTACGCGCCAAAGAATTGAGGCCTTTGAATTATGGTGCTGGAGAAGACTCCCTTGGACTGCAAGGAGATCAAATTGGTCAGTCTTAGAGGAGATCAACCATGAGTGCTCTTTAGAAGGCCAGATCCTGAAGATGAAACTTAAATACTTTGGCCATCTAATGAGAAGGAAGGTCTCACTAGGGAAGAACCTAATGATGGGAAAGATTAAGGGCAAAAGAAAAAGGGGATGATAGAGAATGAGGTGGCTGGATGGAGTCACTGAAGCAGTAAGTGTGAGTGTAAATGGACTCCAGAGGATGGTAGAGGACAGGAAGGCCTGGAGGAACGTTGTCCATGGGGTCACGATGGGTCAGAAACGACTTCGTAACTAACAAAAATAACATTCTGATTAAAAAGGATTCCTCTCATTCAAAGAGGGAACTTCGAGAGCCAGCTTTCAGTCCCTTTTATAGTTATCACAACAAAGGAATTTACAAGAGAAAAGTTGATTGGACAGGACAAAGTTAAGTCCTCCTTTCATAGAAAGTTGATTACATGAAATTAAGCATATTACATATGACCACACGTACGTCCATTTAAATGAAGCCTGACAAAAGCAGGGGTGTAAAATTTAAAATGTTAATGGGGGGAAAGGTCATAAGGTCATTTGGAGAGACAAACCAGAAATCAATTAGTGCTAACAAGCTTTCCTTTTTCAGGAGGTAAAGTCTAGACATCCCATCCTAGCCTGATCTGGGGAACAAAGACAGTTTTTATCTTGAAGTTTACAGTGCTAGAAGTTATCAATCAAACCATTAACTTCATTTAAAAAGAGAGAAAAATAAGTCAAATTAAAATACAAAATAACTATGTTCATTATCAAGTAAAACAATACTACAAAGTCCATGTTGTTGGTATTACAAAGTCCATCCTATGTAGTGCATCCTATTTCACCTCTTTGAGGCTATAGGATGGGGGGAAAAAAAAGAATACTTTCAGCATCACCAAATAAGAAAATGTTGGAAAACAAAAGCTTTAGGAATTTGGATCAGCAGTAACAGAGTCTGAATGCACAGAAGTTTCAATTTAGAAAAGAAGTAATAAATTTATTGTAGAAGAAAGCTCTCAAAAGTTGCAGCAGGGACTATGAGTAATACTGCAGGCACTATGAGTAATACTGCAGGCACTGTGAGTAATAACAAACAAATAAAAATTCCTAATATAACAATCAAACTAAAAATACCCGAAAAATGATTTCAACTATGTCAAGTCAGGTAACTATGAAGTAATAACATTTTTGAAGTGAAGGAAAAAGAGCCATCAACATACAGTGCACTACAGTATGAAAAACAGCAATTTAAAATCTACACAAAAAAAACCCTGACTCTGGTAATCAGCATAACAAGCTGAAATATTGAGTACACAAACTCCTCCTTGATCTGCCCATAAAAAGTCTAGAGCAGGGCTGTAAACTCGCGGCCCATGGGCCAGATGCATCACACGCTGGCCATGCCCATACCCAGTTTAGCGAAGGGGGGGAAAGTCACAATACATCACGTGATGATGCTGTAACGAGGGGAGTTGGACACTCCTGGTCTAGAGCCTTGCAGTTCTGAATATCATTTGGAGGCACAGAGGAGACTTCAGTTTGTAGTCTCTTAATAGCATTGGTGTTGTGGCCCGCCAGCAGCCTGCACGGATCGTGGCTGATCCCAACGACAAGGAGGCTGGTGTGGTGTCGCGCCAGCAGCCTGCGCAGCCAGCGCTCGTGTCAGACAGCAAGGAGGCTGAAGAGGATGTGGTGCCAGAGGCAGAGACTCAGCCAGGACCTTCAGAACCTCCAGAGGCTCCTTCAAGTGGAGATAGCGAAGTGGAAGAGCCTCTCCTTAATGCTCAAGCACGCAGGGCTGCCAAAAGGCAGGAGTGGCTATTCAGGAGGAGGAGGTCTCCTGGAGAGTAAGGCTTGAGGATAATTGGCCACTCCCTTAGCCTATTTAAGTCACACACCGTTAGTATGTTTCTTGCTAGAAACAACTTGTAATTATCATCAGAGCATTTTTGGAAAAGTCTTATCATATCTTGCTTTCTGGGCTGGTTGCCAACCTTGCCGGACTTTGGTTTATTCTTGCTACTTAATAAATTTGATAAGGACCATTGGTGTGTGTCAATATCTTCGGGAATCCAGAGCTGGGGCAGAACAATTGGCTATAATAGTGATGGCGAACCTTTTTGGCGCTCATTGGGACCACGCTCCGGAAAAGCCAAACTTCCGGGTACTAGTGTGCATGCGTGCCCGATTATCAGCAGGCCAGCGCTTATGCGCAGGGTGGTTTTTGGCCCTGCTGTGTGTGTGAAGGACAGCTGATCATGGCACGCACATGTGTGCCGGAAACCCAGAAGACAAACAGGCAAGGCCGCGCGTGCCAGACAACATGGCTTTGTATGCCACTTTGGGCACGCGTGCCATAGGTTCGCCATCACGGGGCTATAACATGGACATAGATTTCACGTGATGCAGAAATTTTGAGAAGGGCAAATTCTAATTCAGCAACCCTAAACCTGGCAAATGCCAACACAACACAAAATGTAAGGGAGATGCCCATTTAACAAGACGATTGTATATATGTCATTCCGTATTTATGTCATTGGGCATTTTCCAGATCTGTCGCTGTAGCACTCAGTTGTGTCCACCAGCAGGAAAGCAAATTCTTCTTTCCACACATGGGGTATGTAAATTCCTCCCTGTTGAGAAGAATTAAATCCAGAAGAGGAGACACTTTAGTTCTTTCTTCCAGTTTCTGAGAAATGATATTGGCTGGAAAAGAAGACAAAATTTCTTAGACTTCTGATTCTTGACAGAGTTTCCCAGCAGATATCAAGATAATTGAATTTCTCCATTATCACTAATTCACATTTTCTCCAAAATATTGGACATTTCATGAAGAAAGGCTTCATCCATATGTTCTGCCTGCCCAAGTGGTTTATAATAATTGCCTAGAAATCCTTGATGGTGTCATTTTCAATTCTCTCCTGTTTTTTACTCTTATTTAAACAAATTCAATGAGATTTGCATACATCGATTTATGAATGCCTAAGCAAATATACTTTTGCTTTTAGTTTCAGTGCAACCGAACAGTCACCCTTAATGTTGGGTTTGTATCTTTTGAACACATTGTACCCTCTAGCATTGTTATAAATTAACTGATTTACTATTTGTGACCAAGGGAAATCTAATATCAATTTACATTGCTAGAGAATCAATGATTCAAATATGGAAAATAAAGGAAAGTAATGTAGGCAAGTAACTGGAAATAATACCACATTACATTGGAAAAGCCAATGTAACTTAAAGAACTTAAAGAACTATTTCATGGTAGATTCCATCAGGGAAGAGTAGATTTATTCAGTGGCAAAGTTTATCACTCTGTGCAGGCTAGAAAATGTGGATAAAATCACAAGGTTCACTAGAAGACTTCTGATCCAGTCATCCACCTATTCTCCTAAAACCTTAACAAGTGACCAATCATCCTGGTTGATGGACAGTCCATAAGGGTGAGGGAATGAGGGGGTAAATGGGAATTGATTATTGCAATTGTTTAAATAAACTAATTTCTTTGATTAGGCAAATACTGTTGTGTTCTATTTTCTCACACTGTACTATAAGATCTCAAACCTTTCAGCTTTAATGCCCTGAGCACAGCCACTCCTATACCTCAAAGTAAAAAGTGAGAGGGTTCAGATTAGACTCTATAAAAAATAGGAAAAGTAGACCATTTAGTAAGCGAAAGGCCTAGTGAAGAAAACAAAAAGAAGTTCAAATTCTGGCAAAACAAATGCATAGAGACATTGAAAGAAACAAAAAGAAATTTGAGGAGCATATTGCCAAAATTGTGATGTCAGATAACAAAAGATTCTTCAAATACATTAGAAGTAGGAAATCTGCCAGGAAGACTATTGATCATTTGGATGAAGAAGGAGTCAAAGCAGGGGTGAAATGCTCCCGGTTTGGATAGCGATGGAGATGGGTGGTTCGGAGAACCTAGAGCAAAAATCCCTGCCCCCCCCCCATACCCAGCTCAGCTGTACAATCATCAGAGGCATTTAAAAGAAAAAAAGCCTCTGCCGATCAGGCAACTCAGCTGGGATCGTCAGAGCCTTTTGAAAGCATTTTTCTGAAGAGGTTGTAGAAAAAATGGTTTTAAAAGTAAAAAAAAAATGGCCACGCCCACCCAGTCACATTACCACCATCCCAAGCCACACCCACAGAACCGGTAGTAACAAATTTTAGATTTCACCACTGAGTCAAAGGTGTGCTAAGAGGAAAAAAGGAAATTGCAAAGAAACTTAACATATTTGTTTTTTTGCATTCATGGAAAAAATTAAAGCAGATCCCTGAGCCTGAGCTCCTGTCTCAGAAGGGGTATCAGACAAAATCAGCCATACAAGGGTGACAAGAGAAGAAACACTAGGCTTT